GGATATGTACCTCCACACCTACGAGAGGACTTATAGCCATCCCGCATATATCAATCTGCAGGAGCTCCAAAGCATGGACAAGGAAAGAGCATCCTACCTATAGATAGCTCGGCACCTGCCTAGCTACCTATGTCTAGGTCTAGGTACCTTTCGGGTTAGATTAAGTAGGAGATAGCTGGCTAGGTAGATACCTTGGTATATTAGCTAAGAGTTCTCGTATGTACCTCCTTCTCTAGGAACCTACCTAAATACCAAGCTAGGTAACTAGGCTCTATGGTCTCACCTCACCCTCCTCTTTACCTAGGTTGGTATGTAAGGTACACTCGAGGTAGATAAGTCCGTACTTTCCCTTCTCCTTATTTTCTCTCTGTTTTCCTCCTTTTGTTCAATTCTGTCGCCTTGCAAAACTCGATGGAGACTCTCGAGGTCTTTTCCTCGACTCGTTCTTTCTCCTTTGTTCGTTTGTTGTGTGAATGGCATGATTTTTCTCTGTCGCCTTCCTTCTATTTATTCATTTATTCTTCATCATCATCATCATCATCATCACTATCGTGAGGTCAGCCAGTCAGTTTGGTAGTTATTGTTTCCATCCTCGGACCCCGCTATCCGCCATCTATATAGGTAATAACACCTCCTTTCCGCCATGGCAAATCCCTTGATTCTTCTCTGAAATCTCATTGTTAGTTTCATCCGCATGATTGTATGTTATGATCGCCTCCCCACTCATTCCCGATCCTCTGACAATTTGGATCCCCACTCGTTTAGTAACCACTAGGTACCACTCGAAAATCGGGAATCTAAGGGTCGGTGAGCATAGCTCCGATGCGGCAAGTCTGGACCTCGATTCTGAGGTGAGGCCTCGCTTTGATGCGGTCGCGCTAACCCCCTCTATTTACCTCTATCGGACCTATCGGACTGTCGAGGGAAATTTGATATAGGAGAGCATCGTTGACAGAAACGAAGGTCGCTCGATTGGATTCAACTCAGATGTCTGGAGCGCCTCGAACAATATCGACACCTCAGGGGTAAGGACGATTCTCTTTCCAGTGGTCGTTTTGTCTTTTCTTGCTGAAAATCACTGACTGACAAAACACGCCACCCTTGATAGTCAACGTCAATGTCACCGGAGTGCTCCACGCCGGTGTTGATTGGGGCACCGTCTCAACGCCTCCTTGCGATGTCTGGATCTTCAAAAGCTCTTCAGATACCTGTCACCATCATTCATAGGATGCGATGATTCTCAGGGACTACACCGCGGAATGTGGTGATCCCTTCGAGGTCGAGAGCGTCGCATTGTGCAAGTGGGTATCATTTTCTTGAAGGCGTGCTAAGACTGCGACTGTGAGTTGTTGCGCGGCATGGTAAGTGAAGATCCCGAGACTATGAGCTGCGAAAAATGGTACCTAGCCCCTTGGCTTGTTGTTGCTATAGTAGACACCAGCAGGAATTCCACTGAGGTCGGCTCAATTGTAAGACGGTTCGATAATCTTGATTACTGTACCCTCAAGTTCAAGCAAGAGAACCAAATGCGAGAAGGCCCAAGTTGAAGCACATGGCCGAACCACTCAAGTTCCCAACAGCCTGAATTCGGCGAATAGTCCTGATTTCTCTCTTCGCCAATAACCGGTGTTGTGCGTTTTTTGTTTTCTGATTGGGTTTGGAGTAGCTGGGGACTATTATGTTCGTGCTCCATACTCACTTAATGTTGTCTGGCTTTAGAGATCTAAGTCTGAATTGACTCGTGGGATTTTGAAAATTGGGATGGTGCCCACACATTGTACGTTGCTTGATTGAGATGCATATTTTATTGCTGATTGATAAAAATCTTTCTAAGTTGTTGCTGGAGCTGATTCGCATAGAGGGCACCATTAGAGCTACTTAGACTTCTACAATCGATGCTGCCAGCCCCAGCTTTGACATTGCTGATTTGGATTGAGAAATAGGAGGCTTCAAGCCATTTTCTACTGAAGCACATCATTACTCAGACCTCGACTCCATTATACTAAGCCAATTGTCAGAGGGCAAATAACTCGTTGCCGTCTCTTACCGTTTGTGGAAGCCACTTGCGTACACGCCTTTCACCACTTATCGTCATCCCCTCTTGTCGCACCATCATCTTGTTACTACCGGGATTGACTTTCAGTTGACGGGAGTTCGAGCAATCTTTACCAAAACTGCGGCCAGGAGCTATGCCATGCCAGGATGAGCGGCACTATAAACCAGAAATCGACGAAACACTGCTAAGTGATATCTCCTGTGTTGCACAATGTAGAAAGAGTAAGCAAATACTCCATCTCTCTAATCGCGGGTGACCGCAACAGCGAATCTTAATCAATGATTGCAAGAGTTAAATTACGCCGAATTTTATTGACATTGTCTTGCAACGTGTCAACTCTCATCCTTGGAATGAATAATTTGGACACCTCATGTCACTTGATAGGCGCTTTTGGTATTGATCTGAGTTCCGGTGCTGTTGACCATATCTTGAATCGCGAGTAATAGCCAACACATTGAGTTCCCAGTCACCTTGCGCTATTCAGGATATTGATCGTAGAAGAGTGCTGTCATGGCGTGACATGAATGGAACCCAGAAACATGATGCCAAGTACCTTCCGTAGTAAGTCTCAATGCTTTGAGATATCTATGGGGGGATGGCTTATAGGGAGCCAATATGCTCCAATATGTAACCAACCATAGTATCTTATTTCCGAAAGCTTCAGAACCTTCGTTGAGAGAGGTACCACAGCACGCCCCACATTCCTCATTTATTGACACGATTACGCTCTTGCCGTTCAGTCCAGTCATTTTCTTTGCATGACTACTCACCTGTTTTGGGACAGCACAAGTCGAACCAAGATACAAGTTACCTACAGAAACATCAGCACTGAGGAGATCTTTGAAGATGATTACCACCATTGTCTTAACCTGTAGTAGGATTAGATCAGCTGCAAAGGGTACAGGGACGGTCGGGCAGATTCATAAGCTATCAATTGTCGCGCAAGGCTTGTTCTAGTGTCACATGCGTAGGACACACCTTGATCCAATTCTTGTCCTCCCCCCTTCTTCCGCCCCGCACGGACTGACACCGCCTTGCCATTTATCACCTTGTTTCCCAGGTTATCAAGAAGGCATCTCGAGAGCCAATCAGGTCGCTGCTTGCTATCGCCGTGTGTTCAATGTTGTTAAATTCGCGACACCATCAGCACACCATCAGCGGAAAAGCGGCATCCATTGTTAAGCCATTCCAAGGTGTCTAACCCATCTTCTGCAAATAGCCGACAAGATTGGTCTAGCTTGCATGTTCGCTTCGAGGAGCTTGAGATTGATAACTAAAGAGAAACCGCGCATCGAATCATTAATGACGCTTACGGCATTCAATGCGCATCAGGAATGACCCATCCAAAATGCCGGGAATAAACCCCCCCTTCCCCCTTCCCCCCTCTCCCCCACCGTCGGAGGTGACCTGCGCTAACAAATCACGTTCTTTGAGCTTCACAAAATTGTTAATGTATATATGTTGCTTGCAGCTTCTCTTCCGGCTCCTTGCTATCCCGTCAATCACCTCGATCCCCATACTCCACGCCTGTAACCGCCTTCCGCATCTGGTCTCGTTCGGACACAATGAGCTGATGGTGTATTGTCTGCTGGGGCAATTTGCATTTCGGACTAAGAGCCGATAGGCAATTCATCCGAACTGCTGTTGGCCTTTCTCCTTTCCAGTGAGGGCCAATCCCAGCGACAGCACAGGCAGCGGACACCAAGCATACCCTTGTAGGAAGGTCTAACCTACACATAGAGTACATACTGGCGAATGCATAATGATGATAAGTTACCATCCTTGGATTTTGGTGAATTGGGAAGCCAACTTGGCGATCTCTTGGCGATCTCTTGATGGGCTTGGCAATGCGGGGGATCCGGCCGGCTAGTACGCGGAAGACACGCTGACCCAGAAAGGGGGTTGGTTTGGGATTGGCAAAGTCCAGCGAGTGTGTGACAAAGCACGCCACTAGCTCTCCCAGGCCCTTAAGGCGTCTCGGGAGGATTGTACTCTACCTATCCATGCATGCATGCATGTGCAGGATGATAACTACCTAGTCAACTACACTTATGCTTGGTGCCCTGTTATATTGGTATATGAGCTCGTTTTCCTCTTCAACATGGTTTTATCTACCTACACCTAATTCGTCGGCTGGTAGTGGAGAGTGAGGCTTTACCTGTAAACCGATTGAACGCCGACATCCTACAAATGGCATGGATAAATCTCCCCAGTGGCAAGCAACACCTCACACTTTCCTAATATGGTTAAATGTATCAGTTTGAAAGGCCATTCCCAACAGGAGAATTCTCGCAAAGCCAACTCGAGATTCTCTGACAGCTTAGGCAGTGGAAGTAGGATAGAGCGAACCCAGGTCTTGACCGTGGTTGCACGACCTGTACACTTTGTCAGACATGGACTCAGGCATGTCGTGAGGAAGGACCAATACCTATATATCGAAATGACTTCTTTTTACCCCTCACTTGCTTGATAAGAAGAGAAGAGGCAAGTTGGCGAGACGTGGGTGTAAGACGCAGCCATGAGCATCATTCAGGCAAAAGTACGCGTCTACGTACACTCAGGTTGCTGTGCTAGTAGATTACCGCCCGCCCCGTGAGGGCGTCTTTCGGATCAGGAAGGTGAATGGTACCCCGGCCACGATACGATACAATGCTTGGGCCCACCTTGCCAGCGGCCAATCTACCCTCCACCTTGTGGGCTACGACGCATAATGGCGAACGATAAGACAATCTCATGTCGTGGCCTAGGCCAGTGTCATTGCAATGGGCGAAAAATGCACATGGTGCGTACTGAATTGCACAATGCGGACGCTCGAGCACAATAACGCATGTTGCTTGGGTATATATTATCCCTTGGCACTTGCTGTTGTCGCGTCGCCCTGGCGGTCTTCTCTGCCTCCTATCCCTGCCTAGTGATTTGCTGCTTTGACCTGTTCTCTTCCACAATGGCAGACAGACAGACGGACACCATGGATAAACATGTGGCAGAGGACCCGGTTGAGGAAACCGGTCCCCCATCGCGGAGCCCGCCGTCGTCGGACGGGAAGGAGAAGACCGGCCTCGCTGACGACACGACCGTGATCGACAACATGGTCCTTGAGCTGGCGGACAAGCTGGGTGATCGTGCAGATGGCATGGCCCCTGTAGATGATATCCAGTACGTCATGGACAAGATCGAGACTCTTACTGTAGATGAGTGTCGTGCCATCATCGAGAAGATGCTCAAGGATCATGAGTACGACTATAACTTCTCGCAAGCTCAGCGCGAAAAGCTTATTGCACTACTCAAGGGCCCTGCCGACGGACAAACAGTTGATGAGTGGGAGGTTACGCTCAAGTCCGAGACGGCAGTCAACAGATTCTTCTCACCTTACCCCGAGGTGCGCGCAGTATCGACACCCACTGACGACCCAAGCATCCCGTGCGAGACCATCCGTGCCCACCTTCTGGGCTATCTCTGGGCTGCCATTGCCCAGTTTACCAACTCGCTATTCAACTCGCGCTTCCCGGCCATCACTTTGCAGTCTTCCGTCGCCCAGATCCTGCTCTACCCCTGTGGCCTCTTGCTTGCTTGGATTCTTCCCGACTGGGGCTTCACCTGGCGTGGTAAGCGTGTCTCACTCAATCCAGGCCCCTGGACGTATAAGGAGCAAGTCTTGGCTACCATCATCGTTGACGTGGGGCTCACGAGTGCCTACTGTTTCTGGAACATCCAGACTCAGACAGTCTACTACAAGGATACCTGGCTGACGCCTGGCTACGGCATCCTGCTGCTCCTGTCCACCCAGCTCATGGGGTTAGGCTTCTCTGGCCTACTACGGCGTTTTGTAGTCTATCCCCAAGAGGCCATTTGGCCCAATATCCTACCAACGCTAGCTCTCAATCGGGCGCTTCTGCTGCCGGAGGTGGACAAGGAGAACCGTCATGGTTGGACCATTTCGCGCTACCGATTCTTCTTCCTCGCGTTCGGCATCATGTTCCTCTACTTCTGGCTGCCCGGCTATCTCTTTCCGGCACTAAGCTACTTTGCATGGATGACCTGGATCAAACCCGACAACTTCAACCTCAACATGATCACCGGTTCGCAGTATGGCCTCGGTTTCAATCCCATCTCTACCTTTGATTGGAATATCATCGGTACCTACTTCCTCCCCCTTGCATACCCCTTCTTCGCCTACTCCCAACAATTCATGGGCAACCTCCTCGGTGGCCTCATCATCGTTGCGCTTTACTACAGCAACACTAATTGGTCGGCATACTTGCCACCTAATTCCTCTGGCATCTTTGACAATACTGGCAACTCTTACAACATCACGCGTGTTGTGTATGCCAATACGGGCTTTCTCAATGAGACTGCCTATCTTGAATACTCGCCCGCTTTTTATAGTGCCGGCAATTTGATGCTGTACGGCGCCTTCTTTGCCTTCTATCCACTTACCATGGTATTCATTCTGCTCGACTCGTGGCGTCCGCTGCTGCGTGCCTACAAGTCCATGATGAAGGCCGCCATCAACTTCGTGCGCGGCTTTATCATCGGAATCAAGAGGGTGGTCGCCGCCATCAGCAAAGGTGACTTCCGGACCGCTGGCAAGACACTCGCCAATATCTTCGACTCCGATGGCTCCATCTACGACGACTTTGATGACCCACTCACTCAGCTGATGCGCCAGTACCCTGAAGTGCCTGACTGGTGGTTTACCATCATCTTCCTCGTCGCCTTCATTTTCGCCATTGTTATCTGCGCTCACTGGACCCAGCTTAACACGCCCGTATGGACGATATTCTTTGTTATTGGTCTCAACTTTGTCTTCCTGATTCCCATGTCTTACCTTTACTCTATATCCGGTACCACTGAGGGCCTCAATGTTGTCACAGAACTAATTGTCGGCTATGCACTGCCCGGCCACCCCGAAGCGCTCATGTTTGTCAAGGCCTTTGGCTACAACATTAACGGCCAAGCCGACAATTATATATCCGATCAGAAGATGGGCTTTTATGCCAAGGTGCCACCACGTGCCATGTACCGGGGCCAGATTTTCAGCGCCATCATCACCGCACTGATCGCTTATGGTGTTGTGCAATTTGCTGATACCGACATCCCTGGAATTTGCACCCCTGGACAGGTGTCAAACTTCAATTGCGAAAACGGATCTCAGATCTATTTCTCAGCGTCAGTTGTCTGGGTAAGTCAGGTTCCCTTATGCTGGTCTCTGTGACCTCCTTTTTCCCGCACTTACACAAGACCGACTGCTAATCTTTTCTCCATTCCAGGGCGCCATCGGTCCTAAGCGCATCTTTAGCCAAATTTACCCTGCCATGAAGTACTGCTTCCTACTGGGTTTCTTGCTCGCCCTCGTTTGGTGGGCCGGCAAGCATTTTGGTGCCCGTATCCGCTTTGCCTGCCAAACCATTCTGCCCACCGGTGTCTTCAAGACCATCAATGCTGTCATCTTCACTCCACTCTCGTGGCTCAAGCACGTGCACCCATCGCTGGTCTTTAACGGCTTCCTGTATTGGGCGCCACTCAACCTGACTTACTTCACCGGTGGTTTGTATGTCTCCTTTGTTTTCATGTACTATCTCAAGCGATACAAGACGTCCTGGTGGGAGAAGTACAACTACGTCCTGTCGGCAGCCCTTACTGGCGGCGTTGCCTTCTCTGGCATCATCATTTTCTTCGCTGTGCAGTATCACCCCAAGTCTGTCAGCTGGTGGGGCACCAATGTGCTGGGTGAGACCATTGATGGAGGCGACGGCCGGGTCGCGCTGCTTACAGACCTGCCAGCCAAGGGCTACTTTGGTCCAGATACGTGGTCTTAGTTATGAACTAGTTGGTAGGCATGGCAGTATCGACGAGTATCTGATATAGACCGAGGTCTGTAGCTGAAGCCTTAACTTTATTCAGCCCTCCGTAGCCCAGTTGGCGAAACTTTCCCACCTAACATAGTTCAGTAGACTAAACAACAATCCACTCGTGTTAAGTATTGATAACACAAGTTCATTCTATCCTTGTTTGTCAACTATAGTGACAGGTAGTTTGTCAGCCAAACTTTTCTTGTTATAAGGGCTATCTAGTACTACAGCCGTACAAAGGGACCGAACTCATCGTATTCACTTTTTCCCATGCGAAGGACATTTGTCGGCAAGTTTAATGATACTTTGTGTTTCGCACTCTGTAGTGGGGAATGCGCATTTCACCTTCGATGTTTGACATATGCGTAAAATCAAACGTAACAACAAGATCCTGTGAACTATTATCTACAGACACTCAGAGACCAAAGATTACAATGTCTCAATGCGGGAGCACACATAATAGGGAACCATTTGTTTGGAAATAGCCTTATCGAACTGTGTTGTCCACTTTCCACGAAACTGGGATGTCCTGGTCTACGGCAACTACTGAAAGCATTGATCACATCAGGTCCATAGAAACTCGTCTAAGTCCTTATAGGGCAGGAAACAATCGTTTTTGAATCTCGGGCTTCAAGTTAGTTTAAAGGTTGAGTGGATAGCTTTTCGAAAACTTACAAATGATGTATCAATATCGCGTGGCTTACTGAGACCCAGTTTTTGGGCATCAATAGTAAGCTCATGTTTTAGGATCTCGGCAGCTTTGATAATCCCCATCTGTTCCGCAGAGAAGAGAGTACACTACAGCATCCGAAGTTAGTTGATTGACTAGCAAAGACAATGAGAGAGAAGAAAAGGCCGAGAAATGATTGTCTGAAGAGTACTATCCAGACTTATACAAGGTCATTATCCTAAACAAAAAAGGAAGAAAGAAAAAAGAGAATTATATGTAAAGAAATTTACAGGAGTTGCTTACTGGAAGGACGACCAACACCCACGGCCTTGACGCCTAACGCAAGTAGCTTCAAGACGTGACCGCCGGAACGGATACCACCATCGGCGTACACCTCAATCTGCTTAAAGGTTGTAGGATCCTCTGGAATCTATCTTTCCAAGTTTTGTTGGTATGAAGGGATCAGGGCCATACATTTCGAGAGCCGTCTCGAACCCTGAGGGTGCACCATCAAGCTGACGAGCCCCATGATTTGAGAGGTAAATTGCATCAACTCCATGCTCAATTATCCTCTTGGCATCATCGACGGTAGATATACCTTTTACAATGATGGGCACGTCTGTCATATTCTTGAGCTTGAGGTAGTAAACCCAGGTGATGTATGTGGCGTCGGAATCGGTTGGGCCTGCACCCCAGTGGGCGGCTCTCCAGCGGTCGCCATTACCCGCCGGGTTAATGGTGAAGGCGACTGCCTTAGCTCCACAGGACTTGACACTAGTTGGGTAGCTTTGAAGAGCTGTGTCGTTCCCGCCTCTATTGTTGAAGTGCTGGAAGTAAACCTGGCCATTGGTGGTCGATTTACGCGGCTGGGATATTTTCTAACAGATAGATTCGTATTGGCAGTGATGAATCGACAGTTTCCATGTTTCCGCTAATATCTGCTGGAGATATTGGCGAGGCAGCGCACGTTTTCAGTATACTCTCACACAACCCGGGCCTGGAACAGGAGACTCACAAGTTACCTCTAACCCACATTCAGTAGTATTTAATCCTTCTGGTGACATCATGGCTGTTCCTGATAAGGGTGCTGATCGCCTTTATCTATATCATGTTCAAGACACTCAACATATCGAACAGATTAGAAACATCACTTTTCTCCCGGGGACTGGTCCGCGTCATCTCATCTTCGCGGAGTACAGCCCCACGAAGACCCTGATGTATTTGGTAGGCGAATTGGATAATACTGTCAGCGTGTTTGAACTCAGTCGACCCGACACTGTCTGTCCGACCGCATCATCTAGCCTGAACGACACTTTGCAAATTACCCATCTTCAATCAACATCGACTCTGAATAGCAGCAATATTCGTACAGAGCCGAAGAATGACTATTTAGCGTCCGAGCTTGCCCTGTCGAATGACGGTCGTTTTCTTCATTTTTCAAACCGAAATACTCAGTCTGTTGCCAATGTTGATTCAATAGCGGTATTCTCTGTGAACCCGGATCGCGACCAGCCATTGCAATTTTTAGGCCTTAACAGCACTTATGGCAAGATCCCAAGGCATTTTTCTCTTTCAAGTGACTGCCAAAGCCGATTTGTTGCAGTCGCAAATGAGGTTACAAATGATTTGTATATCATGGAGAGACACCCGACCACAGGCTTTTTGGGAGACATCGTTGGCAATTTCACGTTTGGGAGTCTAGATTTGACAACAAACCTTGGACCAATGGCTGTAATCTGGAATTAGAAGGGAGGACAGTCTATGGCATTTGCATATTTATGTAAATGGGTTAGCTTATTTTGACATATTTTTTCATAGCTGCCTCAGTACCGGACGGTGCTGACGTGCCATTTGCGCCCACCCGCGCGTTGGACTCCTGTCCACTTACGTATGGAATGGCCTTCAAGAATGAGGCGAACTCTAGGTGTTTCATTGCCCTGTGACACGCATAATCTCGGCATATTGGCCAAGCTCGGCTGATAGATCTGGGGCACTTGGAATGCTTCTACCTAAACGCACACACAGACACGGACAGACGCATTTTTAAAGCTAATGCAGACGCATTTGCTCTTTAGAAGTGCGCACTGAAAATTGGTGGCAGACCGGTCATGGAGCTAATTGGCGATTTAAACGTCTGGATAGGGTACTTCCGATGTCTCTGAGGCTACATTGATGAGCTATGAGGATGGGCTCGCATCCCTGTCTGTGGCTGTGTTATGACCAGAGCTGCCTTCTTGTGAAGCCTGGCTGTTGGAGGACATTCTCAAAGGAATGTGGCCCTGTCAAGCTTAAAGTTAAAATAAGCAAGCGCTAAATTTTATTACAGCCTTGGCACTTTTGATAGCTGGTGCAATATTGGAAATGAGCAGGATTTCCCTTATTTGGATAATCGAAATTTTGTCGATGACTATAAGATTATACAATATTCAAGATTATCCAAGTTCCCGAAATGAGATTTGGCCTCATTCCGGCGTGATCTCCACTCACCTAGCCATTTTATACCTGTAACTAAGTCGGACTGGCCTGTTCCGAAAGGTAGAAATCATGTCTTGAATCAAATCCTTCGCTACTACAACTGTTTCAGTGAACGCCACAGGTCAAGCGGATTATGCATGCTGTAGTAAGCAGGCTGAATGAATGTGATCACGTCATATCTGCTCTCGTAGCATATCTTATTTGCAATAGTTCATGTGCAAAGAACTTACCAAGCAGCGTATAAGTCTCGGGCACATCCAACAGTGACTCTGGCGGCTTGATTTCGATGACACTAGTGATTCAGGTGTCGTCTTCACGGTGCGCCAACGTAACTCGGACCCGTTCGTGCCGTGTCGCTACCAGCCGCTCCTGCAACCTGCCGACAAGTGTGGCACGGGCGAGCTCCCCGCGATCAGATAATTTGTCAAAATCGAAGCCTCGGGTCAATGCGTTCGCAGTAGGGTAGATACAAAACACTGCAACGACGGCATGGCTCTCCCTCACGAATCATCTCATCTCCTCAATACCACAGCCAGTTGAGGAGGATCCTCAAGGAGACGCCTAAATATTGGCACTAATTCGGATGTTAGTAAACGGGGCATCTATCTGTGCCTGACGCCTGAGTTTTCAGTAAGGATGAATGTAGTAAAAGAAGGCGCGATGAAGAATAAATACCTTGAAAAGGGATACAGATACAGATGGTTTTTAGAGAAAGAGAAAACCAGAAAGAAAGGAAAATTTTCTTGCAATATGCGCTTCCCCAGGTTGTGTTGCAAGACCATCTTTTTCTCTGCATGTACAATCGACCGAGGAAGGGCAAAGCATCCTATCCGGATTCTAGGATGCTAGCGCGGGCTGGGACACGGACCACCTAGCACTCTTTCAAACCAACACCTTGTTCTGAGGCAAGCACGAGGGCGATCTTCGATCTTCTTCAACGTATTGATGTACATGGTATTTTGTGTTTTATTTATTGCACTGTACTTGCCCTCTTCAACTAGGTTTCTTCTCTAGATGCACACTTCCAGACCAAGTTATCAACAATGGCGAGTTTTGACGATAGCACTCAACTCATTGACATATTCGGACCTCCAGATTATAACAACTTCGATGAGTCCCGACCGTTTAGTAATAAGCCTGAGTGCTTGATAGGCTTCATAACTACTTTCCTGGTAAGCTCTATGAGGGGCTGTCTATTAAGCTCAAGATGATCTAGCCTTCTGACAGAATCTAGGCACTATCATGGGTGTTTGTCTGCTCTAGGCTCTATGTTCGGCTGCGGATAGTGCGAATGCCAGGTTTGGATGACCTGTTCGTATTTCTCTATCTGGTATGTTCTATTATGTAGCCAGAACATGACACTCTGACTCTAATATCATTCCCGCTCTATAGATTTTCACATCTGTCGCCTCCATCGTGTTCCTCTTGTGTAAGACTAGTCATCTAATTCAGACTGTATCAAATGACGTAATCATAATAACCGACAACCGCAGCGATACATTACGGGACCGGGCAACATTTTCTTCTTCTTACCGTAGGAAACGTCAAGACATATCTGACGCTCTTCTACGCTCTCAACATCAACCTGAACCTAGCGGCGACTTTCATCAAACTTAGCCTGCTCTTCCAATTTCTCCGAATATTCAACAAAAGTACCTGGCCTTACAATGCGAGCATTATCGGTATTGTTTTAGTCTCTCTTTGGGGACTCATCTTTGTGATACTATCTTTATTCCCTTGCGCCCATATTCCTGACGCCTGGAATATCTTTGCCAGGACAACTCACTGCTGGGGCTATGGTTCGCAGAACCCAGACCTATTT